GTCTCTGAGTTGATCCAACTCTGGGTGAGACGACTGACGAGTGGTTGCGATGACATGTTTGGCGTGAGTTGTGGTCAACACCTGTCGCACTAATGAGAGTCCAATGCCCCGATTAGCGCCTGTGATCAACACATCTTCAAAACTCATTTTCACAAATGAACACTAAAATGATTAACCTTAATAAAATATATAATTTGATACAACCATATATGAATAGTGCAAAATTCGAAGTTAAATTCAAATACAAAGTGAACACAGTATTTATAGTGTAGACTCTACAGTACATAAATTGCACTGATTATCACAGTCAGCATTTGGCAAAATATTTTAACAAATTATGTACAGTCAACTAAATGTATTGCATATACAGTACACAGTATACTTAATACATTTAAATATAATTATGTGACAGCTTATGTCCTAACTAGTGCATTTGCACTATGGCATAAAGTTCACTTGACCTTGGTAGGTTTGATTTACATTAACTTATAATACTTTAACATATTTATTGATGTAGTAATTAAGGTTTTTATTTTAATTGTATATATAAATAAAATTATTTATTTCTTAAAATTACACATACTATAATTAGAATTAATATTTCAAATTTCTACATTATGTTTAATTTCATATTTATTTTATTGGTTGCTTATAATAAATACAATATACAGTTTACAAATATTGTATAATAAAAAATTCATAATAAAATTATTTTTAAAATTAAGTGAATATAATTTAGAATTTATGATTATTTTGTTTTAAAAATAATTTCAAAACATTATTAATTATTAATCATTAATCGTTTTGATTGTATAATTATTTTAATTAATTAATAAAATAAATAATAAAATACAAACCCAAATACAAATAAAGATATTTATTTAATTTGATAGGAGCTAATATAATATTATCGTAAATAAATATTTACCATTTAACTAAATTTTCATAATTACTTATTTAATCATATAATCATTGAAAGTAAACTTTAGTACAATCAATATGGTTGTATAGTTCCCTCATGATTTATAAGTTTTCCCAAATTATCATCAGTGACATGATCTTAATACACCCGACACACCGGTGCTTACAGCCAACAAAGCAGTAGGTCCGCCCGTGTCTGTTTTCAAATGACCCGGACATATACTAATCACATGGATATTGTGTGGTTTGAGGTCTATATATCTATTATGGAAATATGAACCCAGAGTAAGGGATTGCCGAACATTTAGTAAGATTTCTACATAAGAACATGCTGTGGATGTGTTACCTTAACAAGGTAATAATTATTACATATTATAATATTTGCAAAAATCATAGTTCTAACAATAAGTTTACTTACTAATTATAGTTTAATTAAACAAATTTTGTTACTAGATACTAGATTTCTTAGTTACTATTACCAATCAAGCATGAAATTGTGTATGATAAAACTGGTGCCAACAAAAATAACATGGTTTATAATTTAAAGTTAAAATCTTCGGTTAAACAGAAACTCAAAAGAATATCCGAGAGAAATATTTTATTTCGAAATTAATCTAGTACACAAGTATAATGTAAGGCTCACAAAATTAGTATGGTACTATTGAGCCCTCATGATTAATGAGCTTTCCCAAATTATCATCAGTGACCATGGTCTTAATAACATGCATCACACCCGACACACCGGTGCTCACTTCCAACGCAGCATTAGGTCCGCCCATATCTGTTTTCAGATGACCCGGACATATACTGATCACATGTATGCCATGAGGCTTGAGGTCAACCGACAGACGTTTGGTGATCATATTGAGGGCTGCTTTACTCGTACAGTAGGGATATATTTCTCTCGTAAAGATCTCCGGGATCTCAAGGCTCATGGATCCAACACTGGATGATATGTTAATTACGGATGTCTTTCCTCTGGCCCCCGACACCTAACGTAGAAATCAATGAATAAAATATATTTTTATAAATATTTTAAGACAAACCTTAAGCAATGGCAGCAATGCTTTGGTTAACATAAGCGGTGCCACAGAATTCACTTCAAAATTCTTAAGCATATCCTCAGCGGTCACTGAATCTATAGAACCCGGAACACCCATTCCCGCGTTATTTATAAGGGTATCTAACCCCTGGTCACCCACTATGGCCTC